GGAGGGCGGGGCCGCGGGGCCTGGAGGTTTAGGAGACTCGGCGCCAACGCTGACGAAGGGAGACGGGCGGGGCTGAGTTGTAGAGGGCCGGTAGATGAGACCTCCCATCTGGAAGGTCAATTGGCAACATATAGAAATAACTTATAAAAAGTGCAAACGCTGACTCAAAGCCTGTGTCTAAGGGCTTCTCATGAGCAAACATTTGGAGGAATTTGCAGCTTGAGTGATTTTAAGAAATGCATACCATAGAAGGATGTTGACACAAAAAAACAGAAGCAGCTCTTAAACTTCTGAAAAGAAGTTTAAACTGAAACTTCAGTCTCACAACAAAATAAATGCAAAATAATGTACAATTTTTCACCTATCAGATGGCCAAAGATTTCAGATCTAACAGCCCATTGGCCAGGCTATGGAGCTTTCATACCTTGCTGGCAGGAGTGTAATCCCCTTAGCCTCAGCAAGCCCACTTCTAGAAACTCCCCCAGGAGACATATAGACACATGTTAAATGGCATGCAACATTATTAAACGAAACATTGTTTGAATCGCAAAATATTGGAAACACCACAAATGTCCATCAATAGGAGATTGACTAAATTGTGATACACCCATCAAATGAAATATTAAGCAGCCTTAAAAATGAATGAGGAAACTTTTTAAGTACAGTAATGGGGAGATTTCTAAAGTATATTGTCAAGTTAAAAAGGCAAGATGCAAAAGAGCATACAGAGTGCCACTAGCTGTGTAAAAGAAAAGAATATAAATAAAAGAATATAAAAAAATAATGTTTGTTAGTGCATTACAGATATTTGTAAAGATATACAAGTTTTCATGATTATGTATCAATCCTGGTGGAGGAGGGACTAGAAGCATTGGGGACAAGATAGGAGGTAGACTTTTCACTGGGCCTCTTTGTATTCTTTGAGTTTTGAGCCATATAATTTACTAATTCTTCAGAAAAGCAAGTATTTTCTGGCTCAGAAATTCCACTCTTTTAATAATTTCAGAAGAAGGCCTTGATGTCCACACAAAGATGTTCGCCCCATTTGATGATAGTAGGGGCCAGGTAAGAACCCAAATATATTCTGGCCAGCTCTGGAGATCAGATTATCTTCCTTCTCCAGGATTTGTTGTTGTCTGTTTGCTTGTTTGTTTAGTGTATTTCCTGACCTAACTGTGCAATGTCTGTTTTCTTTCTCATGTGTGGCCTCTGAAATCTCTGTTCAGTTAGTTTATTTGTCAGCTAATAACTGGGGAGAGGTTTCCAATAGGCAGGCTCCTTTCTGCAGCCAGCATGGCCTGTGTCCAGTGGTTCTTTCTAACAGAGGTGGTCTAAGTAAACGCGAAGGAATGTGAGTGAATAGCAAACCTCATGCCCTGATGCGAATTTGAATCCCCAGGTAAAAGTCATGGCAGAGGAGTCAACACAGAAATACTTCAGCATTAGGCCTCTGCCTGCCCTCACTCGGCCGCCAGCTACATGCAGTCAGAAACTTCTTTACTTACCTGTTTCTCTCTGGCTCCACTGATAAATTGGTTCCTAGTGACGTGATGGGTTCAGGAGCCTAAGACTCATCCAACTCATCTGATACCTTCTGTCCTCCAGCAGTCATATCAACAGACAGCTCATTTCTGGACCTTATTTTCGCTTACTTTGTATCGCTTTCCTTCCTCTCCTCTTATTTATTATACGAATATGGCAGGGGAGTCCCTTTATGCCTTAGCACCTGTATGGATGAATGCTATCCATCTTACAGAGCTGCTGCGAGAATTCAGTGGAGTAATGTGTGGTACACTGACCAGCACTCAACAGTGAGTTCTCTCAGGAACTGGTAGGTCCCATCTAATGATAGGGAGCTCTGTGGAAAACTACATTATTATGTATATTCACTTTCTCAGACAACTTTCAAGCCCAGTGGCTTGGATGGGGTGGGGCAAACAAATGAGAAACAATATGAACCCTCCTGACTAGTTACTCGAAATGGGCTCTGTAGACCAGCAGCCCTGGCACCCCCTTGGGAGCTTGTTGCAATGCAGAGGGTCAGCAGCGCCTCAGACCTACTGAATCTACATTTTTAGTAGGGTCCCAAGGTGACTCAAATGCACGTTATAGGTGGAGGACAGCCCTCTAACTGCTTTGTGAAGAGAAGAAACGTCTACTGGAGTGCCTGCTGTTCCCTCAGCTAAAGGAACAGGCGACAGCTTCTCACAAGGGACCTTTGTGGGGGTTAAATATATTATCAGCCAATGGTTTAAAGTACAACTGATAGTTAATCTCAAACTCCCCTCCATAGCTGCTCAGTATTTTCTCAAGACTGAAACTAATCGCTGGCTTCCCACCACTCTTAGCATCCATCAAATAATAAACCAGTAAGCTTCTATGAGTGTCCACGATGTGCCATGCTTGGAACAGGGTCACCAACCCAGGCTCCAACCTAAAAAGGCTGCAGTTGCTCTTACAGCATTAGCTTGTAGAGGCTTAGAGTGGGGATAAAGCAAAACTAGCTGCAGTGGGATTTCAAACTGCTAAAATGCTTTTCACCAGCTGGGGGCCGTGACATTGGCGAATGTCCTTGCTCTTCAAGTGAGCATGACTCTCAGAGGGCTGCTGCAGTGATTTAATGAGATCATCAGGCTACCTGTTCATAATGTCTTTGTCCTCAACAAACATTCATCATTTTTCAGTCATTATAAGCACAGAGTTTTAACTAGCAGTGATGTGAGAATTACACGTGAAGATGGCTAGATTCAGAGAAGTTAAATAATAACATATTTAAAGATTCAACATGCTGCATAATAAGTGCTGGAGCATGGATTTTACTCTAAATCTTGTAAATCTTTTAATCCCAGATCTCTTTGTAGTTCTTTGTGCTACAAAACAGCTCCATCTAGTGCTGTGTTTTTCCTTCAACAGCCCTACCCGTGCCATGTGCCATGTGGTAACTTTTAATGAGTTAAGGGAGGAAGCCTGGACCTTCCCCTTAGTCCAGAATTGATATGGCTAAAAGCACCAGGAGGGCCACAGGATACCATCGTGCTCCTTGCTTCTCTGTGGGCTCTGGATCAGCAGAAGTTGCAAGCATAAAGTGAGGGTATTAATGAGTTAGTTCTTGGACCTTTGAAGAAAATAAAGCAGCTAGTGTTTATGAGCACTTAAGATGTGCGGGAACCTACTGGGAGCACTTTACATGTTAACCCAATGAGGCGCAAAAATAATTATTACTGTTATTCACATAAGAGTAAGATTTAGAAAATTTTTCTATATCTTCCAATTTCAGGAAGCTAAGAAGGGAGGAGCTAGAATCACAACAAAATCCACCTGACCCCATTGCCACACTCCATCCTTTGGAAGGAAAGGGAGAGAAGTGGTGGAGGAGATGGGCAGGGGGAAAGGGAAGGGGGAAGGAGGAAAGGGAAGATATAG